CTTCTCCACGATGACATTGTGCGTCGCGATGCCCTGATACAACTGATGCACGAGCTCCTGGAGCATCCGTTGTACCGCAGTATCCACCAACAACACCCCACGCTACTGCAACTGCATCCTGACGAACGGTGATGCACGAAAGTCCGTCAAAACAACAAACATATCTTCCAGTCGGAGGCACTTGGCGATGGCCGCAAAGAGAAAGCATAGTGAGGTCAATGCGACTGTGGAGCCGGGCGACGACATAATTGCTCTCCGCGTGGTTAACAGCACGAGGAGGCAATACGACAGACGATTGCACGTTTGACACGTTGGCTGGAAAAGGATCACCCGTCGTGTGTAGTCGGAGGAGCCATAATTCTACCCCTCAGTGTGTCGGTATGTAAGGCCATGTTACAACACTCTAGCATCAAGAGAAATCGCCTCGGCGCCGAATGCATTCCACTCCAATACAACTCGTTCGCCACCATATAAGCGCCGCCTAAAGCGCAATAAAGTATCTCTACACAGAACGCGTAGTCGAAATACAACGTGAAGTCGAAACAATGAAGACAGGTAGCACAGTACGCTTCATGCGACAGATGCGTTCGGTGACTCTATTCTGCGTCGTCGTGGGAGCTATGGTCGTGGCTGCTGGAGGAAAAGCACAATGCCAAACCTGCGCCACGTAGGTACACACAGCGTCTTGCGGGGAAACGCACGTCCCAGTCGTGGCCTTCCACGACCTCATTGTCGAGTTACCAAGGGCTCCTGATGTCACCATGCCTTGAAGTGGGCACAACGTGCCCTGGGGAGCGCATGCCCCGGTGCTGCCACAGAGCAGCGCCTTGGACGCACCGGACACTGCGAATGACGTGTCATTGGCAACTGCAACGATCCAAGTTCCTGGCGCAATCGTGATGGCGGCAGGGGACGTGGAGCACCCCTGCGATGGAAATATGCACCCCCAAGTGCCACCGGTTTGAATCGTCCCGGTCACGAGTCTACACACGGCGTCTTCGGGTGCAATGCAAACTTGCATTGCACCCGATGACGCCGTGTGTTATTGCATTCCACGACGGGATCCAGGGACCACAGCCAACCACAGGGAAACCCCCCTTCAGTGGGCAACGCTTGCCAACAGATGAGCAACCATCGCCTCCGCAAATTGGCACACTACCAAGTCTACAAGCAAGTCAGACGATGTGCCATGGAGAAAGCGGGTCATTTGAACACGCACTGTTGGGTCGAGCACTGCCGTTTTTCGAGTCCAAGTCAAGCAAAAACTCCTCATATCAATCACACACTGTTGGGACGAGTACTGTCGTTTTGAATGTGACGGCATAAAATAGAGTTTGAGGAGTCTGTTTCGTGAATGTTTCGTAAAGGGGTAAATATACGTGAGTAGATGGAAATACAGTGCTGGCAATAAGTATATGACCACCTACATATTTGAGTCTGCACAACAACAAAGCACGAAATGTGGGCTGTAAATGCACTCTAGCGTTAAGAAGGCATCAGGCAAGACATCATGAAAGTTATGTAACTTGGCGCCACATAGTCGGCACCCCACATTAAAAATACCAAGTTTGAAAAATCACCACATGGCAAAAAGTATTAAACCACCCCGTCATTTTTGCGATTTTCAGCGTTTTTTAGCTCCAAAAACTTGTTTTTTATATAGCAAACGTCGAGTTAAATCGATTCCCGCCATCACTTCATTTGAAAACTTTATCTGTGCATGCCTGCGGGACCGAAGCTCACTGAAGAAGAACAGGACATGATTCTTGCCCTGGACGCTGTCGGGCAGAGCCAAAGAGAGATCGAGCGCCTTGTCGGTCGCTCTCGTGGAGCAATCGCTTTGTTCCTTCGCAATCCTGCCAAATACAACACGAAAAAGCGCACTGGGCGACCATCTAAGCTCTCACCAAACGACAAACGTCGCCTTCTTCGAACTGCCTCGAACTCATTTTTGAGTTCGAGGGAGCTCGTAGAAGAGTGCGGACTGGCCATTAAGGCCAGGCGAGCACGGCAACTGCTCAACTTGGCAAAACATCTCAAGTTCATCAAGGCAATGGCCTTCCCCGCCCTCACCGAAAACCACAAAAAAGCGCGCCAAAACTGGGCTCAGCAAACGGTTACGTGGGACAAGACGCAATGGACCCAAGTCGTCTTTAGTGACGAAAAAAAGTTCAACCTCGACGGCCCGGACGGCTTCAAACATTATTGGCACGACTTGCGTAAAGACAAGGTCTTTTTCTCCAAGCGACAGTCGGGGGGAGGAAGCGTAATGGTATGGCGAGCTTTTAGCTCCATGGGCAAGACAAGCCTTGCCATTCTGGAAGGCACCCAAGACAGTGGTGCGTGCATTCATACCTTGTCGGACCATTTGTGTCGATATGTCGACCTTCATTTTGGTCGTGACTGTATTTTTCAGCATGACAATGCATCAATTCATGCGTCTAAAGAGACGAAGGAATTTTTGAAGGAGCATATGCTCGAAGTCATGGAGTGGCCTGCAAAGTCTCCGGATTTAAACCCCATCGAGAACATTTGGGGTGTTCTTGCACGAGTTTTTTACAGCCGTGGACGTCAATATTCATCCAAGAATGACCTAACTTCCGCCATTTTCAAGGCATGGGACGCCATTGGAAACGACTTGATTGTTAAGATGTTGCACTCGATGCCGAAGCGCTGCACTAGTGTTTTGGAACTCAAGGGAGGAAAAACCAAGTATTAAAGAGCAATATATCGTTCTATCCTTTTTATAACTGCAAATTTTCTCAGGTGGTCATAAACTTATTGCCAACCTCAAATGCATGATCATGTTACTTTACCGAATAATATCACCGAATGGGCCTTCTCACCATTTCAATAGCGGTTACTCATTGATCCATTCACTTTGATCAAGTTCCGTGCACTAGCGAAAGCATGGTGTTGTTGTATCATCTAAAGTTGAGGGTGGTCATAAACTTATTGCCAGCACTGTACTGTGGCTTCAAGCCACACTCCGTGATGAACGGAGAAGCGACGTTACTGGTACCATCTCTCGCTTACTTGGACGCTCCAACAACACCGTTAAGGGAGCCCTTTCCGAGTTCCTCGGCACGAAGAATCATCCGTCGCGCATTCCTACGTCAGACTCGGTCGGTACCCTTGTTCGGACGTTTATTCGAGACAGCTGCGTCACCCGTACCAGGACTGTCGCGCGGGACGTCTTGGCGCTCCTCATTGACCACAACGTCGTCTTCGTGGATGCCTCCCGGCCAAATGACTACTCCGCTTGTCTTCATGCTGTCCAAGTCTTCTTGTCGAATGAGGGGTACGCTCGTGGGAAGCGCGCGGGGAGACCTGAGTTCAGGATGACCAAGGCGCATGAGATGGCAGGGGACGCTTACGTCCGCATGACGGTGCCAACAGTGGTACAGTGCTGGACATAAAGGTTCGGTACAAGGAATTCTGAGTCACAGATTGGATGAAAACCAATACTGCTGAGTCACAGCAGTATTGGTTTTCATCCAATCAGAACGCTTTAATACCTGTTTTAATCCAGTGAAAATGGCGGATCGACTGAATCCACCCGATTTGTCCCAAAGTGTGTACTCACTGAAAAAGGCGCGAAAAACATCAAATGGTTGGTTTTGAACCTGGTCAATAAACATCGGTACAGCCATTGAATATCGAGTTTCAAAGCACATTACGCTTAAAAAGACACAACCAAAGGTATCATGCTGATTTAATGCTGCACCAACAGAGTTAACTAGAACGTACTAAATAGATGACCCAAGGCGAACGATTGACACCAGAAGAACGAGGAGCCATTTTGGATTTTCGCAAGGCGAATTGGTCGATTCGACGCATAACGAAGGAGCTTTTCTTGGCGAATGGCACTGTCGCCAACTTTCACAAGAACTCTGCCACGTATGGGACGTCTACCATACCTGGCAGACCGAGAAAGTCGGCTGACAGAGACGTTCGGCGAGTCATCCGTGTTGCTTCCGAGGGTAGGAGCAGCTCATCAAGGATCCAACATGACCTCCAACTGGACGTGTCTCCACGCACGATTTGCCGCGTTTTAAAACGCTCAGAGCATTTCCAATACAAGAAGCGCAAGGCTACTCCACGAGTGACGAAGGCGCACAAGGAAGCAAGAGTCAAGTGGGCCAAAGACCACGTCGATTTTGGCGACAAATGGGCGACTGTAATCTTTTCGGATGAAAAGAAATTGAATTTGGATGGCCCCGATGGGCTTCAATTTTACTGGCATGATCTCCGAAAAGATGACCTGTCGTTCATGAGTCGCCAAAATGGCGGTGGAAGCGCCATGGTGTGGGGAGGATTTTCCTCCCAAGGATGTACGTCGCTTGCTGTACTGCAAGGCCGTCAAGACTCGTTTGCTTACTGCGACACGGTAGCAAATTATATGCTACCGTTTGCCCATTGGAAGCATGGCGATGGCTTCTTGTTTCAACAAGATAATGCCAGCATTCACACCAGCAAGGAGACGATGGCATTTTTTGACGACCAAGAAATTCAAGTTTTGGGCTGGCCGGCGTTGTCGCCCGACCTCAACCCAATCGAAAATGTTTGGGGGCTATTAGCCCGAAAAGTTTACGCAAATGGTCGACAATTTTCGACGGTTTCGGAGCTGCAAGCCGAAATTTTACGACAATGGGACGCGATCGTGGTGTACTTTGACCAAAGTTTCATTCATCATCACAACACTCGTCACGAGGACAGTCTGAACGACCCCGATCACAGCACAACGAGGCCAAAACACAAAGGTCGCCGATATTAGAAAGATTTTGCAACTTGTCCTTACACTTCCACTCCACTACAATGTGCCAAAATTCGTTTTTGGCCTCAAGTGTACGGACCAGTCAAACGTGAGTTTTGCAGACCAGTCACTACACTTATCCGGTTATTTTACGGAACTAAACTTGAACCATTCCGAGGCACAGTGCTCAAACATGATGGTGGCACAAAGAGACCTCGCCATCCTTCTTGTCTTCGCCAAGACCAGGCGGCAACGGCGCTTCGTGTCCAAAATGATTGCGGCGCAAGTGGTGGAGAGGCCACTCATCCCGGACATGCGTTTTGACCTGAACGCCATGTCAGATGCCAAGGCTCTCCTCCAATTTCGTTTCGATGTTGCCGGTGTTCAGCAGCTGGGTTTCCTTCTTGGACTGCCCGCCGTGGTAATCACTCTGTCCCGCAATCGAGTGCTGCGTGACGAGGCCATGTGCATCTTGTTGTCGCATATGGCTTTCCCCACTCGTCTCTTCGATATGTCCAGTCCAGGACGTTTGGTCGCTCCCGCTCAGTGCTGTGTGATGTCTTTTTGCACGTGCTCAACGAAATATATGACCGTTGGAGCCACCTTTGTACTTCGACTACAAGCTCGTTCAACGCAACATTAACCAATACTGTGCTACGATTCAACGCAAAGGTGCGCCCACGAACAGGGTCTTTGGATTTATTGATGGCACGAAAGTCCAGACCTGTCGCATTTCTGCGATCAACGATGGAAACAACTTGCAAAAGGAGATACACAGTGGTCACAAGCGCGTGCACTGTCTGAATTATCAAGCTGTCACTGTGCCGGACGGGTTGTGTACTCACTTCTTTGGGCCCATCGAGGGCCGTCGCCACGATTCGACCATGCTTCGCGAAAGTGGACTACTTGCCTACTTGGCAAATCATCCAGAAGTGTTTTTTGGAAAATGCATCTTTGGTGATCCAGCGTATGGAGTGTCTGAGCATATGCTCTCTGGGTTCAAAGGCAGTGGTCTGAGTACCTTGCAACGCGACTTCAACAAGTGGATGAGTCAGGTACGCCAGTCTGTTGAGTGGAACTTTAAAGTGATGAGGACCCTGTGGTCATTTATTACATTTAAAGCTCTGTCAAAGATCAGGTTGTCAGCAGTAGCAAGAATTGTTTCGGTTGCAATGGTTCTCACCAATTGCCAGTGCTGTACTTTGGTGGAAACCAAATTAGTAAGTTCTTCGAGCTTGACCCACCAAGTATAGAATCATACGTGAACACGTTGGAAGTAGTAATTGTTTAACAAATACAAGATGATTCCATCAAACAAACAACAACGTTACCCAAACTGTTATTGAGAATTACTGAGTGTCGAGAGCAATTTCATCATTGTTTCATGTTGCACTCGCAACTGTTCATGTTGAAAACGAAGTTGTTCAGCACGTAGTTCTCGCTCACATCGACGCTCCTCGAACTCCCTTTCACGAATAATTTCGCGCTCTTTCAAGTCGCTCTCGTACACACGCATGCAAAACTCGAGGTCTGCCTTGTTGTCGTCATGCATCATCTTCATCAACTTACTGATGGCACTTCCACTCCCCGAACCTGCCTCCGCATCGTCTTGACCGGTCCTTTTTCTCTTTCCGAGAGATTGCATGGCTTCCTCACGGATTGTTGCGGCCATGGCATCCACCCGGTCAGCCTCCCGCTGCACTTCGTCAAGGCGGGCCTTTTCTGC